TCATTTGACACCTTAAACAGCTTTTAAAAAAGATGAACCTCTTCCAGCAAGCCTTTCCTGAGTAGGTAACCGGCCACCGAAAATAGTTAAGCCTGTCCTAAAGCCGTTTTAAATTATTTGTTATTTGTAATTTTTAAGTATGTTGTTATATTTTGTCTGTTTAATTGCATTTCAAGGGAGGTGGGCTATTGCGGGAAGGGATTGTTTGTTTTATCTTGTAAGCCGCTTCGGTTGTTTTTACAGAGAGGCAGGATATAAATAATAATAATAATAATAATTATCCTAGGGAATCCTGGGCTTTGTAGGTTGTTGTAGCACCAAAACTCTCTGACAAACAACTTTATTCCATGTAGTTTTAAATTGAATCAAGCCTCCTAGGCTGCAGCTGGGAGGCAGGATGGAGGTAGAGATTATCGCATGCCAAATCATCGCTGAATTGCCGGCTGCCATCAGCCTGGGTCCTAGGTGCTGTTTAGAAACCAGAAAGCTTTCTGGTTTCTAAAAAGCACCAGTTGAGCTTGGACTCAGACTGATGGCGGCCAGCAATTTGGCGGCAATTTACCTTGCAATAATCCCCATTTCCATCCCACCTCCCGATTTAAAACTACATGCAATAAAGTCTAAAGAAAGTTAAATATCTCACAAAATTACAAATCCTCAAATTCCATAGCATTGAGGCATGGCAGTCAAAATGGTGTCAGATTGATATTAATTCTGCAGCATAGATGCAGCGTAGGACACTCAAGAGACCAGAGTCAGCCTTGCTCAGCCATGGAAAACCATTGGGTGACCTTGAGCAAGTCACACTCTCTCAGCCTCAAAAGAAGGCAAGGGCAAATCCCCTCTGAACAAAGTGCTGCCAAGAAAACCCCATTATAGGGCCTTCTTAGGGTTGCCATAAGTCAGAAATTATGTGAAGGCAAACAGCAACAACAACAACAACATTAGAAAGAACAGGAACAAAATCTGGGACTTTCCAATCAGTCTGGATTTGCCCTTAAAAGTTTTATTGACTGATTCTATTTTTCTTAAGTGCACAAGCATGTCATATATATTTATTGGGCCCTGTTGCAGAGGGGATGCTGTAAGGGGGAAATCCCTTCTACTACACCTGTGGTGGGACAACATCAACATTGAAGAAAAGTACAGATCAAGAGAAAATGACAGCAGCAGTCCCAAATAAACATCCAGCCCCTATGTCTCTTTCAGTGCTGGATACACATAAAGGCTGAGTCTCCTATACAAAGGGATCTTGTAGCACCTTTGAGACTAATTGCAAAAAACGTTATAACATTAGCATTCAATTCAATGAGAAAGTAGAGAAGTGGCTTATTGAATGAGAAAAGAAAGCTAAAACAGATTGGGAGAGTAGCAGTTTTCTCCTTGCCTCTCCGCATGCTGTCAAAGCACTTCCATTCTCTTACTGTGTGTGCCTTTTGTCATGCTGCAAAAATCCGTTTGGCAAGAGGCATGCTTTTATGACCATCTCCTTTGGGAAAGAGAACAGAACTGCTATAACAGCATGCAGAGAGGCACAGGGAAAGCTGCTACTCTCCCTATCAATTTTGGCTTTCTTTTCTCATGCAATAAAGCTTATGCTTCAACTTCTTTTGCTCAGTTATATAGTCTCAAAGGTGCTACAAGATCCCATTGTATATTGATATTCCATACTAACAATGCTGAGTCTGGAGTTGTACTTTGGACAAATCATGAAATGATATAAATCAGTGGAAAAGACAACAATGCTGAATAAATTGGTAGGCAATCGGAAAAGAGGAAAACCATATTACAAATGGATTGATCCAAGACCCTGAGTTTGGACTTCTCTCATTCATAGGGTTTTCATAAGTCAAAGTCAATTTCACAGCAAATAATCACAACAAAAGGTAATTTCTCCAAGCTGTAACAAGGACCAAACAATAAGCAGTGTGAAGTGACAATTGACCAGAAGCTTTTGTAGGAAAACCGCACAATTTCCCAATGTAACAGGGGGAAGGGGTGTCCAAAGCTATGGGATGAAAAGCTGATCCATCCCATTCTGAGCCTCTGTTAGGACTTGGAATATCAAGATTTACCATCACTAAGGTTTATTGCTTGTCTTCCATCAGCAAATCAAAACATTTTTACACCATCAGCATTTTAGAAATCAGCTGGGGTGGGGGTTTAGTGTTGTGCAGTCTGGTTTTTAAGGTATGTATACAGACATTTTTGCATGGCCCAGCATGGCATAGTGGTTTGAGTGTTGGACTACAACTCTGGAAACCAGGCAGTGGCATCACTAAGGTGGTGTCACCCAGTGTGGCTAATTCATGGTGTCACACACACACCCACTGACTTCCTCCCATACCACACCCAGCTCCTTAATAATGTTTTTTGTACTAATGTACTCATAAATCATAATACCATATATCACTAAATGTAGTGGTAATAGCTGTGGCATAAACAACTAGCAAAAATAAAACTATGCCTTAAAATTACAATATAATATGCACAGAATACATGTGCTTACAAATATATAGTTTTATGTGTAGAGAGATCTTGTAGCAGCTTTGAGACTAACTGAGACTAACTGAAAGAAAGAAGTTGGCAGCTTTTGTAGACTTAAGTCTACTTCCTCAGATGCATTACGTGGATAAAGTGAAAATTTTGTAAAACATGATGTTTTTTAAAAAATTAAAAATTAAAATTTTTAATTTTTTTGAAATTTGAAATTTTATTTTTTTAAAAAAAACCATTGGGGCCTCTCCTTTCTCCTCCCACTGAGCCTCATTCCACTCACAATATCTCTTCAGTATTTTAAAGAGATATAGGTGAATGCCTCAGCCAATTTCTGCCAAAATGCAGATGTTTGAAGAGCAGTAGTACTACCTCCCCTTACAGTGTCACCTGGCATGGTCTGAACCCCCCGCACCCCCTCGTGACACCATTGAGACCAGGGTGCAATTCCCAGCTCAGCCATGAAACCCATTGGGTTACCTTAGGGAAGTCACATACTCTCAGCCTCAGGGGAAGGCAATAGCAAACTTCCTCTGAACAAACCTTGCCAAGAAAACCCCATGATAAGGTCGACTTGAAGGCACACAACAACAACATATAATCTTTTAATATTTTAACTTTACAAATTGTTTGATTGCTTTTTGAATAACTTATATTTATAGTTTTAAAAATGTCTCTGTATAGTTTTTAATTTTTGTACTATTCCAAAAATTTTGCTGGCCACCTTGAGTCCTATTATTAGGACAAAGATGAGATATTAAATAAATAAATCAACAAATGTTAAATAGCAGCTATTTGTAATTTATTCAAGGGACTTCTTTGACTACGAAAGTGTCTCAGAAACTACTGAACAGTCAGAAATGAATTTTTGTGGGCGCCATGGGTCCAAAACAACAAGGGGGTGTGGCTTACTCCAAAGGGGCGGGGCCTAAGTCAAACATAGTAGGGGGAAAACCTATAGATAAAATAAGGAAAAGGAAACGGATAAATCTTTATTGCCCTGCCTGCATGCTGAGACAAGCCAGGAAAGCAACAATATGTACTTTTCAGGGGCGGGGGGGGGGGGAATTGCTTGAAATAATGAATAAAGAATTTATGTGGAAGATTAAGTTAACCCTTAAGTGAAAGGAATGGAAAACGTGTTTAATTTGTTTTCTCTACTGCTATTTCAGGAAAGCTGTCAGCATTGTCAGATGTGGATGGCTGCATGTCAAACAATCTCAGAGGTTGACTATTGCCACATGTTAGCTGTCAGATCCTGTTGAGTGTTGACTTCAGAGGAGAAATACTAGAGCTGGCAGATTCTGCTAGAGAATATAACTTAAGATCAATTTCAAAATCAATATTTTATAGATCAGATTTTGATGCTCATATAACAAGTCACTGGAAGCTATACCTCTTTTGGGGGGCAGGGGATATTGGTCTACACACAGTAAAAGCATATCACAATGAAAACATGTAACTGAAGGTAAGCAAAGGCAGGCTTAGTTAATATTTGGATGGAAGACCACCAGGGAATATGAAAGACCTTGAAGAAGACCTGAGCACATCTGATCTTACCTGACTTTTTAAAATGGCAAATTCAAGGTTTGCTTTTTGGAATGTTAAAAAAATATATTTTCAAGGCAGGGATGGCTGAATATAGAGATAGAGAATCGGTTGATAGAAAGGGCCAACTATAAATACAATCAGTTTAACCAATATAAATCAGTAACAGACTAAAATCAGACAAACACTTAGACAAGTTAGAATAAGAAAATTAAAATTGGTTCTAACAACTTTAGGACCATAACACATATATTTGTTGTTCAGTGCCATCAAGTCGTTTCAACTTCTGGCAACCCTAAGGTTTCATAGGGTTTTCTTGGCAAGTTTCTTCAGAAGGGGTTTGCCATTGCCATCCTTTGAGCATGACTTGCCCAAGATCTCCCAGTGGATTTCCAAGGCTGAGACAAGATTTGAAATCTGATCGCCCAGGGTCCAATCTAATGTTCAGACTATTTCATCACGCTGGCCTTCAGAACACATGTGTAGATAAAGATAAAATCAGTAAAAACCAAAGGCTTTAATAAAAATCCATGTCTTCATCTGATGCTGAATGAAGCCAGTGTTGACACCAAGCAGATCTCCAAGGACAGGTTGTTCCACACCAAGGTGCCATAGACCAGAAGACCTTCTCCCATGTCTTCCTACAATGTGGTAGGCACCATTAATGGGACACAAGGAAGCCCTCTCCAGCAAATCTCAGTCCTTGGGCTGGTTTATACAGAAAGAGCCAATGTGGTATAGTGGTTTGAGTATTGGACTATGATTCTGGAGACCAGGGTTCGATTCCCAGCTCAGCCATGGAAGCCCACTGGGTGAAATTGGGCAAGTCACATGCCTCAGGGGAAGGCAATGGCAACCCTCCTCTGAACACATCTTGCCAAGAAAACCCCATGATAAGGTCACCATAAACTGGAAACAACTTGAAGGCACACAACAACAACAAGGTGATCTGAGTAATTCTGAGAGAACATAGCTTTTAGTATATAAAAATATCCCCATCACTTATATAAAGGGATGCAAGAAACCAAGGCTGGCACCAGACATCTACATAACTGGGCATCTGCCCAAGATTGTGCCCCTGCGGGGTGATAATTCTGATGAGAAGTAAACAGCTGGAATAGTAACCTCTACAAATCTCATCCTCTACCTCGGGGACGTGATCTAGACTGAGTCCTGCAAGAGAGACAACAGTGGCACAGAGTAAGGTTTGTAATAATTCCAAGGCCTCAGTTTTAAAAAAGAAATAATTTTAATCTCCCATTTTTCCAAAGTAACTAGTTACTTGTGGGTTGGGGGGTTGATGTAACAAGTAACATTCCCCAGTTACTTCAAAATATTATTTGAGGGAAAGTCATTGGAAGGGATTGGGGGCATTTTTTTT